TTCACCTCCTACCATTTATTTCCTCTTCTTCCCGGTTGCCTGTCATCTTTGATGTCAAGCCTGTTTGTTTGCACAGTGTCTCTTCTGTTGGCTGTGATACTTCTCAGCCTTTCTGCTTTGTCCCCTCTAAAAGATCCTCAAGGAGGACCACAAGTGTCACCTCCATTGTGAAGCCCTCCTTGATTCGTGTAGTCGGATGGATTGCTACTTGTTCTCATTTATAAACTTGAAGATGCATGTCATATGATGCCCTCGGTGCTTTCTGGTCCATCTCTATCGCTGATGACCAGTTCCCACTCCAGCCTGTTCTCTGAGCTCCTGTTCTAGCTCCATGGTGCTAATTTCCCTTTGTTTCTGTGATTAGCTCATTCTTGTAAACTCTTCTAATAAAATATTAACGATTACAACCATGTCGTGAATGCCAGATACAGTTGCAATCGACTTACATTCATTACTTTATACCATCTTGGGCAGATGTTATATAGGATTGTTATATAGGATGGTGCCACTTTACAGACAAAAATATTGAAGCACAGAGCAGTTAAGTACCACAGTCACACAGCTAAATGTAGGGTTCCGTGATTCAAGGCTGACTGCTGAAACCCCAATGTTTGGCCTCTAAAACTGTATTCCTGCCTGCTTTTCCACTCTAAAGACCCCAGACTTGAACAATAAAAGCCCCATGATGCCCTAGGATTGCTGCTTGCACCCTGCTTAGTTACTAGAGAGCAGAGATTGAGTTTATGGGTCTCCCCCTTCCCTCACATCTCCACTGCACCTTGCATGTACCAGTTAGCCGAATGCGTGCTGAGTAAAGGGCAGACTAACAGCATAAGGCCCAGGCACTGGTAAGGAAGGGCAAAGGCAAAGAGAGAGCCCTGAAGAGGGGTGAGAAAACTGGCTTTCTGAAGAGAGCAGCGCTGGGTGGAAGGATCTGGCAAGGATGTCAATGAACACTGGAAAGAGACCAGTCTAAGAGGGAGCTGGGACCCAGGATGGTAAAGACCCTGGGGGGGAAGGAAGGCAGGAAAGATCCAGCTGCCACGAAGCCAGGAATGAGACCAACAGCTGCCAGAGATGCTAGTTTTCCGAAGAAAGATGAAGATGAGAACTGGAACTGGTGAAATCCTTCACTTTTGAGGCTGCAGGGAACCATGTCAGTGGAAGGCAGAGCAAATATCCTGTGAACTAAAAGTAAGGTACTCATTGTAGCTTAGGTTCTGAGCGGAAAGAGTTGGGTGGCTGCTTAGTGCACCTAGAATATCTAGGAGAGAATGTTTAGAACTTAGTCAATGCTCAAAATGTAAAGGAATATGTGAATAAGCATGCCTTAATTGTTGAGGGTCGTACAGCAGTCGCCTGGCCTCGTACTTGCTCATGCTTGGTTGGTATAGAGACACCACCTCTTGAATTTTCCTATTTGCACTATAGGGTAGGTGGGCACTTGATCTCCTTCACTTGTGGGCCAGACTCAAAGTTGATTACTCAAGAGGCAGGCAAGGAAAGGACAGGACAAAGGCAAGCAGAAAGGTGGTGTTTTTGAGTCAACACGAAGCAGGGGCTAGAGATGATGGACCATGAGGTGGTTGGGAATGGCTAAAGCTGGCTTCAAGAGAAGGATCTAGGAGAGGAAGAGGGGGCGTGGAGAACTGAGAGTGTACAGGATGAAGAATAGAGTCGACACCCATGGTCTCCTTATCCCTCTGCTTCTTTCACCATTTCATTCGTCCTTACGCTTTAGGTTCCCCCAGTGGCCAATGACTACTCCCAGGATGAGGAAATGCTGAAGACCAATCAGGCAAAGGGTATGTGAATCTTGTCTCTAATTTGTACCTACCACATGTTCTTGCAGAACGTTTGTAGTTTCCTGCAGCCTCCTTTTTCTCTTCTCTAAGATGGGGATAGCAATCAAATCAGCCCTACAGATTTACTGTAACAATAACTGAGAATATTCTACTCATTACCTGAGTTCGGAGTCTTCAACACAGAATCGCGTTGGCGTAAATTCTAGTAACTGGCTAGTGTCACTTTTCATGTGGAAGTCTTCAGAGGAAAGAATATAGAAAGGACAGAGCTCACCCAAAGGAAGATTTAAAAAAAAAATCTCTCTTTGTTGGGCCCTGGAACTCCCTCTGTAGACCAGGCTGACATCTGAATAAGAGCTCCACCTGCCTCTGCCTCCCAAGTGCTAGGATTAAAGGTGTGCACTGTCACACCCCCTCTTACCTCTGATTTCAACTTCTTGCCATCACAGCATGCACTTCATCTTGAAATGATGCTCCCGATGTTGGCCAGTTCTTCTCTGAGGTATCTGCCTGACAGTCACTACATAGGTTGGGCTTTCTGCTCTTCCAGCTTCTGATTGTCTGTGCTCTTTAACACCAAAGCTGGAAACAGATACTCCATGATTATAACTGTGCTTGAGCACATAGGAGAAGGTTCTGATAGTATTGTGCTTATGGATCCTTAGCAGCGATCTTATAAACTATGCTCTATCACTGTTTCCACAGCAGAGGCAATAACGGAAATAGATTCTGGATCTATCCCTATCCATTGTGAAAGTTAGTAGAATACCTAACAATGAATTAGAAAGGGTTAATCTATGGGGCCAGTGAATAGACTCAGTAGGTCAAGGTACTGGCCTCAGAAACCTTGAGCTATGTGCTTCTGATGCCTATAGTCCGTGTAAATGTGGATGAGAGATCTGGCTTCACAAAGTTGTCCTCTGACTACCATATGCATCCCCCCCCCAAATACCATAATAGTAAATGGCTAATGCAGGAGATAATTTAACTGAGTAGAATGGTGAATGGGTATTTGTAGGGAAAGAAGGGATGGAAATATAAATGTTCACACATGAAGGAAAGATTGTTTCCTTGCAAAGATAAAAGATCGCAAGTAAATAGTTAATAAAGGACAAATGAATGAATGAGAGAATGAACGAATGAACGAACGAGAAGTGAAGGTCTTGTCCAGCCCCAAGTTCCTGCGCAGCGTGAATATAGAGAACCTGGACATTTTTCTCCCGGCAATGAGATGCTAAATCAAGAGCATAGGATATGGTAGGTGTCTGTTTTCTATGCTAAACATTCTAATTGGAGGAAGGCTGGATTGCAAGCAAGCAGAGTACTGTAAATCTGTGAGCAGGGGACCAGTTTGAAGGCTCTCGAAGGTACAAAGCTGCAAATCCATAGAAGAGGAGCAAGGCTGGGGAAGTTGCATGGGGAGTGTTAGGTACCAACTGAAAATATTTGCAGTAATACATGGGAATGCTTTGCACGAACAACCCAGAGTGAAGCGTGCCTCACTGGGAGCACAGTTCTCCCTCTGGATGGGGTTTGGTTGCTATTGGGCTGTATGCAACCGCTCAGGAGTGCCTTTGAGCCTCATACTGAGATGAAGAGGCAAACACAAACCCAGGCAGGCTCTGAACTCTAGGAACGCTTTACTGTGGGAATTTATGCACAAGGAACTGTTGGCTTTTGCAATGGCCACCATACTGAAACATAAATCACACTGAATTTGTTTGAAATCTCTTCTTTAGGAGGGTGTATGTTTTGACAAACCTTGCAGCAAATTTGGCCCAGCTTTTGGATTTGTAATGAAACCTGAAACCCCTCATGCTGGCCTGCCTTGGGGTCTCCAGACACATGTTCTGAGCAGCCTTAGAGTAATGCCTGGCCTAATCCCATCCTGGCAAGTGAAGGGACTGTGCTGGGCTGGGCTGTGGAGTGGAAGCTGCAAGCCTTGCTTGTAGGTAGGAGACAAGACTGATCAAGACAGCAAGCTGGGGACATTTTTAACCTATTCCCTATTGACTGGTGACTCTAAAATACCCCAAGCCATGACTGGGGCAGAAAGTTAATTAATCTGCTTATTAAAAAGAAGAAATGTCTCATTTGCATGCATTTGCATTCAGGTCTTGCATTTCTCTTGCTTTTTGGTGGTCCTTGCTCCCTTTTCCCCCCTTAACGCCACCGACTTAGCTAGGTATGGACTCTGCCTTTCTGTTTTCTGGGGCTGGGCTTTGTTTAAGTGCCATGTATCTGGTGAACCCAAAGTCAGCACAATTGGGTGTTTTTCTAGATCCCCCTAATTCTGTGTAACAATTCTCCCCTCCCACGGGCTATCTGAGGTTTCTTCCACAACTGGCCACTCTTGGGAAGCCAAGACTTCATCCCCATCAGAGTTGGGCATGTTGCTTGGGGAACAATACATTCAAACTGCAATTTCTTACTCAATTGAATTTTCCATGGTCATTTTCTGAGAAAAAGGGATGTTTTCTCCTTTGCTTTTTCTATCTTACTGGGCAGTCTGTTTTTATTTGTTTGTTTGTTTTTGGAATTTTTTTTTTGTAGAAATAAAAGCCCATTTCCTCTTGGATGGATTTTAATGACTCCACATCCAGGTTGGGGTGATACTGCTTTTTCCTAAGATTGAGCATGCAACCCGAATGTAGGACCTCTAAAATCACCTTTAAAGGGCTTGACTAAGGCTTTGGGAGAACAGAAAGGGGGCTGGGCATATGGGTAGTTTGTAAGGGGGCAGGAGAGAAGTGCTGAGGCACAGCTGGCTGTCCAAAGTACAGCAGGTACAGCCAAAACTCTGCAGGGAGGTGAGAGGCCAGAGGAATCTTCCCAATGGAGTGAATCACCAGCCCAGTTCCGAGGGACCAGAGAGCCAGTGTTACTGGGTTTGGGAGGCATCCTATTTCTGATACATTACAGCAGTGTGGCTGGTCAGGGGCTAGAGGCTCAGGCAGGGGATGAACCCACCTCTATGCTAACAAGCTTAGCAATCATGCTGTGCTGGGTCTTGGCTGGAGGGGAAAAAAATTAAAACTCAGCCTTAGACCTCTTGTCAGACTATGAGGAGAATTATATTTTTGAACTAGTCTACAGTGTGGACAGGAAATGACCTCTTCACCAACTGCTTCTTTAAAAACAAGCAGTGGTGCCTCTAGCTATCCAGCTTCTCTCTCTCTCTCTCTCTCTCTCTCTCTCTCTCTCTCTCTCTCTCTCAACTCCCTCTCCCCCTTCTCCCTCCTCCTTTCCTTCTTCCTTTCCTCCCTTCCTCCCTCCCAACCTCCAACCTCCGCTCTCTCCCTCTCAGAGCTCCAGCGCTCCCTCCCCTCCCGCGCTCCCTCCCTCCCTCCTCGCTCCCTCTCCTCTCTCGCTATAGAGGGCTCCCACAGCACTTCCCAGCCAGTGTGTTCAGCCTGCCTGCCTGCCTGCCTCCGTGTGTGTGTGTGAGCGTGTGTGCGTGCGTCTACTTTGTACTGTGAAGAACACAGCCCATGTGCTCTGCATGGACGTTCCTGATACTCTGTTAAGCTTGATTTTCGACAAGCAGGCAAGATGTCCAGCACACCACATGACCCCTTCTATTCTTCTCCTTTCGGCCCATTTTATAGGAGACATACACCATACATGGTACAGCCAGAGTACCGAATCTACGAGATGAACAAGAGACTGCAGTCTCGCACAGAGGTAAGTTCTCCAACCTTGGCGTGTGTTTGTGGATTTTAAAAAAAGAAAAAGCTGTGCATGGGCTTTTTCCTGGGGTTCTTGGCCGAATTCTATGGGAAGTGTCCCACCAGCTACTACCACATAGGTGGAAACAAGCGCAGCAGGATGAATCCACGAGTTTGGATGCTGGGTTTCCAGGGACAGTAACTCTTGGAGCTGGGGACAGTTTTAGCCGGAATCTTAGAATCTGGAAATAGACAAGCCAACACTTGGTTCACATGTGGGGTGTCTAGAAATGCAGATTGTTCAAAACTATGATGTTTGTAGATTTAGAGATGGTCTTGTTTGTTGAAATATAAATTGCAAGAGATTTGTGAATGTTTGCATCTCTCTCTCTCTCTCTCTCTCTCTCTCTGTGTGTGTGTGTGTGTGTGTGTGTGTGTGTGTAATAATATATACATTTAGTTGCAAATTCCAGAGGAAGTCTGTTTTGACCTACACTTTTTCAAAGTGACTAAAATCGAGGTAAAAGGGACCAGAGAGGAGCCCTGCCTACTTCTCAGAACTCCCTGGAGGTGGGGTGGGACACACACACACACACACACACACACACACACACGTTTAGCTGTTTCTGTGTTAAATTCAGAAACAGGTTGATTGAGGCAGTGGGGGTTCTCTGCTTTCTCCTCTTTGATGGTTGTGCCTCCCAAGATTCTATCTTAGGACAGGAGCTGGTTTCCCATTCTAGCAGGCAAGAGTTTAGGCATTTGTGATCAACCCCTTGAGAGAGGGAGACTGAGCCTCCCAGGCAGTGATCCCGTCCAGGACTTCTTTAGAACTTTCCAAATGCTAAACTTCAGGCTTCTTGCTCACAAGCTCACAATTTAAATATTTAATTTTTCTCTGGGCTGGTTGAGAGGCAAGGCACGCTGCCTAGTGCTCATCTGCCTGAAGTTGGGACTCTACTCGGTGTTCAAGTATTTTTTGTAGGTGTGTCAAAGTCTCTTGAGGAAGTAGAAGTCTCTGGGAATTGAGTTTTCTCTGCAGAGGCCAAATACCCAGAAGAATCATGCCACAGATGTGTTGGGGGAATAGCTTTGGTTGGTATTTAGAATGAAGGTTGACTTTTAACTCTGGGGAAGGATTCGAGTAAGTTCGTATGGTAAAATAAAAAAAAAAAAATACACTTGTTTTGAGTTGTCTACGGAGCCATAGAGAATTCCTGATGTTTAATGTATTGAATAGAGCTAACAAGATGTGACCTGCTTTCTGATTGGTTAACTGCTGGACAAGAGCTTGTGTGTGTGTGTGTGTGTGTGTGTGTGTGTGTGTGTGTGTGTGTTTTAAAGCCCGGCTGTCTTTATCACTGTTATTGTCTTTATATGTTAATACACCATGAATGTTAAATAAAATTGCTGGCACTGTGACTCTTTCTAGAAGCCAGAAACTCCTGTACAGTGTAGACTCTTATGCTTAAAGTGCCGAGTTCTTGGCAGTAAACAGGATTGTGTGTGTGTATGTGTGTGTGTGTGCCTTCAGTGTGTTGCTTGTATGTGTGTGTTGTAGTTTATATCTTCAATTTCGATCTGTGTAGCAGTGTGTTGGAATCTCCGGTCCCTGTCTAAGCTATCTGCTGGCAGAGCCTGCTTTCAGAATTTGGAGGATTGGGAATGCTTTAATATTGTAATAAAACTTTGAATAAACAAACAACTCTTTTGCTAAGAATGACTATTTCTAAAAACAATTAAAGAGACCATAGGCCATGGGAGCTTAGTCCTTGAAGACAGGGTTTAAAGATATCCTGTGTCCAGCTTACTTAGAAAGTTGTTGAGGCCTTGTGGAGGGAGTCTTTCATCCTCCTGTGGGTGAAGTGTGGTAGCTAGTCTTGGTCTGTGTGCCTCTGAACCCTTCCATAGCCCCAGGGAAGCTAGCTTGAGTTGGAAACCTCCCTTCCTCCCTGGTCCCCATACAAATCCCTAAGATGGAATAGATTCCCCACAGCTTCATGTTTGAGATGTTTGGAAAGTGACCCATTAGTAGTACGCTTTTCCAAAACGACACATTAATCTTTTTGAGAGCTAAACCCAGGAACTTCCAACTTTTGGATTACAGGCTGTGACTTTGAAAGATTTTGCTCTTAGTGCAGCTGAAGAACTGGGAGAGGCAAGCTTGTTTGGACAAATCTTTGAGTTTTTAATTTGTCCTGACAACAAAGTATTGCAAACTATTTTTTTAGTGTGTTTTGAACCTAACCTCTATACAAGTTCCCGCCTATTAAGTCTTTTAAAAGTAATTTTCTACACAGTTACATTGACACTTTTGTATCTGTTCAAGAAATCTGTTTTCATGGCGTATGAAAAGGATAGAAACCATAAATTGCTTCTAATATATATATGCATACCTAAGTATTCACATCAAATATTAAAATTTGATAATAATAATATGTAGGTAGAGGAAAATATAGCTTTGCATAAAAAAGCTACAGGTAGCTTTATCAGTGCTGGTTATTAATTACGCAGCTGTCCTGCATCCCAAATAGGAACTGGTTACAGTCACCGCATACTGCAAGACTGACCTGTCCACACACGAAGCTGGCGAGTGATCACTTTTAGAATTCAGTCAATGCACACCATCACTGGGGTCTCCTCTCTCTCTCTCTCTCTCTCTCTCTCTCTCTCTCTCTCTCTCTCTCTCTTGCTTCTCCCACTCTTCCCTGCATGGTACTGTACTATTTTACTAGCTCCTCATTCTTCTCTCTTTCTCTCTCAAGTTTGTGTTCTCTTTGGAACATCTACTTAGCTAAGAAGAAATTACAACAAACAATTAGAAAGATGACTCTCTTAAAAAAAAAACGAAGTCAAAATATTTAAAAAAAAAAAAAGGAAATAAGCTAGTGATAAACTCATGCAGAAACAGGACATTGCTCTCTCTGCCCTTGAGTGACTGACTCCAGAATATTCGCCTGTGTACATTTCTTCCAGTTAGATCCACGTCCTGCAGACACTGGGTAGTACTGGTTTGAAGAGCATTGGGTTGGGAGTTGGTCCTATTTCTAGCTCATTCTTGTCCCTCACTTAACTAGCGAGGGTGGAGTCTGGATTTTCTCACCAGCAAATCGCCTGCCATTTCCCTTGAATTTGAAAACTCCAAATGGTTTTGCCGTAGTACGAGAAAGTATCAAGAAGCAGAGTGAAGCCTGCAGATGTTGTGTTCTGTGTGTGCTATTTAGCTCCAACTTACAAATGGTAGTGAAAGAACCAGCTATTCCTGTGGAAAACTTGAAAGTCTGGGTCCTGCTAGGCTTGGTACAGCTGGCGCCAGGATGGCAAGCCATTCCCTTACTAAGTAGGTCTTCAATTAACATTTGCTGACTAGCAAACCTGGAGATAAAAGGGGTGGGGGGTAGAGAGAACTCCAGAACCTTGTCACTGAAATTACAGCAACAACTCTGCATCTGTGAGGGGCTCGGCACCCCCTGAGGAGCTGTCTCACCCCACACCCCCCACGTTTGTTTCATTATCATGAGGTCATTTAACTCCCTAATCTTTGTGGTAAAGCAAGAGTTTAAGAGATTGGACCTAACCTATTTAGGAAGGAATACGAGCCCATTATGAAGTAAACAGCAAACACTCAAATCTATTTTTAACTGTGTAGCCTGTACTAGGAAATAAAATCTCTTTGCCACATTAACACCTTAGGAGATTTGGATAAATGTGTGACGTCCCCACCCCATCCCCACCACCAAGCTGCCTCACTCTAAAAGAAAATTAAGAGACACTTGGAGTTAAGTATCGCTGTTTTTCATGGGCAGTGGGAAAGGGTTACATTTTCTATTTAGGACTCTACCATAAATTGACCCCCATGTCTTCCAAAATTCATTTATTTGAATGGTTACACAGTGCAAATTTCTTTTGGAAAAACACGACCACACAGTTATATAGTTTAATTTAACATGGTGCAGAGACTCCAATCAGATAGGACATAAAAAAAAAATATCTTCTAAAGACTTCAGGATTTAAAAAAAAAAGACTTTAGGATTTTGTTTTGTGAAAAGCTACAACAAAAACAAAAACAGCCATTTAAAAGAAATCTTGAAGTCCACACTGTGAAAGGGAAATATAGGTGTGGTGTTCTAGGGTCCTAACTACTAGGGATTGGAGTGGTGAGTTGGATAATATTGGATTATTGCAGAAATTAAGTCAGTTCATCACATGGGCTAACAACAATTCTTTGGTACTGCAGATAAGTTTTCAATGTCTTGTTCCTTCAATGTCAATGGTTAAAAATGTTTCCGTTATGAAGATGTTTTGAACTCTATTTTTTTTCATGTTGTTACTGCACTGATTTTAACAAAATTACATAAAACAACAGTAACCCATAGCATCCTTATTTTTTTAATCAACATCATACATCCTATTGCAAATGAGAAAACTGTGACTACAATGGGAAGCAGTTCACAGGAGGAGTTTGTTAGAATTATAGTGTTTAGTGTTACACGATTGAATATGGATGCTTTGAAATGTTTGAAGACCTTGAAATTCAAATCTACTGCTTTTCACCCTTCCTCATCTCAACTCTGAAACTCCCCAGGAGTGGTGAGAGGGAAGAAGGGTTTGCTTTGTTCCTTTATTTCAGCTACATTTGTATATACTTAGTCACAGGTTGTAGCACCATGCTTCTTCACAGAAAAGCTCAGTACCCATGTTGGTTTGGATGGAACCTGGTCACAGCAAGAGTAGCTACTTTCGATAGATAGGAAAAAAGAAAAATGTTGTGATACTTGGGTGATCTCTCCCTCTAGGAGTTTAGAAGGCAAACTTGCCATACCCTGAGCTACATTATAGGAAATATTCCCAGTGTTCAGCTAGAAAAGGAGGACTGCCCACGTTTTCTAGAGGAGGTTGCGGAGGATTGGGAAAGGGGTGTCAGTGAGAGCAGCCATTTTGAAACTGCTCAGTTTCATCAGGGCAGTTTTTAAAATGGGAACTTCCAAACTCCTCTTTTTTCAAGCCACCTACATG